AAAAAAAAACGTAAAGAGTGTGTCAAACCTCTTTTGAATTGCAGGAAATTGGGTACTAAATTGTAAATTCATTTAGACAGAAGTTTCTCATTTTTGTTCGATACGAAAATCAGGCTATTTTTGTTTCACTGTTTTGTAGCAAAAGAAATTAGAAATTCACAGGCTGTTTACTGAAATTTCTAATAGAAACAAACTTGCATTCTTCATTGCTAATTCATTTCAGGGCTCTGAATGAATCCTCTCATTTGCTAAATCTAAGTACTGGAAGTTTTGGGGATACGTCTATCCATGCGTATTCTTCTGATATTGTGGTTCCAAGAAACAGTCCTTTCAACAAGTCAATTGACAGCATCCATACAAGAGAACAGCTCGAATATTTGCTAGCGAAGGAGTAGGTTGAACCCTACATTTGAAGAGAAATTTGCCTTCATGCATAATCTTTTTTTAGTGCCTCATCGCATATGGATTCCTCATCAATGCGCAGTTCATCGTTTACGTATTTCAATGTTTTGGATATTGGTGCTCCAGAGGACCGCAGAGGATATCAGTTGTCGGAACCGTTAAAAACAGGAGACTCGAAAGAAAACAGTAAGTTTTCGCTAGTTAATCAATTGTTCTGTTGGGATCTTGTTCTTGTAAATCATATTGTTATAGTTGTTGTTAAAATGGGACCAGGAAACCGTATCATGCTGTCTCCAGCCAGCAGCGAAGGTGATGGACAGGATGAAATGACCAGACTACGTTATACGTTGCAACATGCTAAGCACAGCCCTAAAAAGGTTAAGGCTTTGTGATCAGTTCTTTTTCAATATTAATGATCGGAAATTTAAAAAGAAAAAAGTTATTCAACTTGTTTCTGACTTCAATTAATGTAACTGCACTTCTTGGGTTTATAGGGTATTTTGATACGTCGCAGCGAATCTATCGAAAGGCGACGAAGAAGCATTAGCATATCGTCGCCGGAACGTCCTCTACTTCCTAGTCCAGGTTCGCTTCCAGTGCCGACTGAAATTGACGCAAAGAGGTAATTACCTTTTTTTTGCTTCTACGTGGCTTTTTTTCTGGAT